GGGACCAGAGTTCTTCCAATGACAGTTCCACCTGGTCCACAAGACACAGGGAGGCCACTCAAGAGTCTCCTTCCATGTCAATTCCACCTGGTCCACAAGGCACAAAGAGTGTTGCCTCACCAGACTCTCCTTCAACTGACTCTTCCACCTGGTCAACAAGACCAGTGATTCCGAGAGCAGAGTCTCTTTCTGCTGCAGTTAAAACCTTGGCCTCAAGTCAGTGATGTCAGACCAGAGTCTCCTTCACTGTCACTGTCATCCTGATCTACAGTCAGTGCTCCAGACCAGTCTCCTTCCCCAACCAGTCTTTGACTGTTGTCTACCTCCTGTGTGGCTATACAACAATTTCGGGTCAGTCTTGATTTTCGATGCTAGTATTTTATACTGTCCGCTGGGCCTTCCTCCTTACCTGTGCATACTCGTTCCGATCTGCGGGAGCTGAACTCCCTATTTACTTTGTGTTATCTGCCTTCTGTACTTTTTCTTTCGCTATTGCACTTTGTTTTTGCCCTCCTTACACTCGGGTAAAAACAAGGGGCTCGTTCCGGTCTTCCCATTGTTTCTGTTGCCTTAGGAATACCTTTCAACTGCCTCCTTGGCATTTTGTTGTTACATTTTCCATCATTTCATTTATGGCTTTCCTTGCCAGTTCTCTGTCCCCACTGGACCTCTCGCAGGAAGTTCCTCAACCTATGTAATCCCACTTTTTTTGTCAGGCTTTTCCATCTTAAACTCCTGTTACTCTCTCCCACTTGCAACTTTTATATGTATTCAAAGCACATAAACCCCCCCCCCAAACGTGGTCGCTAGCCCCTAGGGGGACTCTCGTACGTGATGTCCTCAATGTCTGAACTGCCCAGGGTGAAAACACAAGGTCCAATTCTTGCTGGTGCTTCCTCCCTCCTCACTCTCGTAGTGCCTTAACATGTTGGTGCATAGGTTTTCCAAGCTAGCACTTGTCCAACAACTTGGTGCTCCATGTTTTGGGAACCCCTTGTGGCTCCAGGTTTTTTCCCAGTCAATCTCCCTGTGGTTGAATCCAATAACCAGCAACTTTGCTCAGCTGGAGTGGCTCTTCTTGCACCTCAGCAAAGGTGTTGTCCACCATTGTCTGTTGCTCTCTTCATTTTCTCTCTTTGGGCCTCCTGCAGATTGTTGTTGGAGTATACATAGTGCAATGACCACCTTGTGCTCCCCAGACCTGAAGTGTACCGACTGTGTAGTCTCTTTCTCCTTGTCTCATCTATGCATTACATTTTTGTCTCGAATTTTACATCAGGTTTTTTTACGAGCTGAGTAACCCCATCTCCCCCCTCTGCCCCTTCTATCTTTTCCTCATGATCTGTTATCTGGTTGGAAAGATTGCATCTGTTAGTGTCTCGTGAGTTTTGTTTCTGGAAACTTCTATGATGTCTGGAGACTTTCTCATTGATTCTTTCTTTCATCCTCGTGTTTTATTCGAATCCATCCGCATTTGTGTACGAAACCTTCTATTCTGTTCTAATAATGAAACTGTTTGTGTGGGGGTGGGAACAGAGGGATCGGTGAGTGATGGTTGGTTTGGATTGTTCAGTTGCCTTGTGGGTTGTCGTGGCTGGAAGTCCTTCTGCAGGTGTTTCTGGGGGTGTGCTTGTCCTTCCCACTTTGTTCTGGTTTATTCGGCCTATCCTTTTCATTTCCTCCATTTATTTTTTCGTTTTAACTCTCTTTTCATCATTCTTTCTTTCGGTCCTGTGTTCTTATCGTCGAGGTAACTACTCATGAACTCCTGCTTGGGCCTCTCAGCCTTGCTTTCTCCTGCAGGATGTCATTGGTCGGGGTTGATTTGCCTTGAAAATTACTTTGAGATGGCCGATTCCTTTTTCTTGGTGAACAAACCCTATTCTCGAAATTTTGACACCCGGGTCATGTCCCCCTCGCTATCACCTTCATGTACCTTCAAATTGCTTTTTTCTCTCCTGCTTTCTTTCCATCTAAGTTTCCCCTTTAGCTTGTTCTAGCCCCCATTGACAAAACTGATTTCTCCCTTTGCCACCTCCCACTGTGTACTCCATTGCATTCGTCTGATGTGTTTTTAGTTCCTTCCATTGAGTGTTCTTCATTCAGTCCTTCCCTAGCTAATGGACCCTAATGCTCATTGGTTTGTCCTTCCTGACTCACCTGTTCCGGCCCCCCCCCCTACAGGTGTCTGGTAAGGTCACTGCACATGTCCTAGTTCCTTCAAGTCTTCCAACCTCGCATTTCTGTTTTAGTGTGCCTCCCTGTCTTTGTTTTGGCCTCAGTGGGGGTTTGACAAGGACCTTGCATACGGTTTAGTATGTGTGTGATATCTGTGTGTGTGTGTGATGTATGTGCGTTTGTGCTGTGTGTGGTGGGTGTGCATTGTAGAGTGTGAGTGTGTGTGTGTGTTGTGTGTATTCGCCTAGTCTTGTTAGTTAATAGTTAACATATTGTCCTAGTGCAGGTGTGTGTGTGTATGTTGTGTATATGTGTGTGTTCGTTTGTATGGGGGAGGTGTGAGGGGGAGATACTGCTAAAAACAACCAAAAAGTTGACATCACACATCCTTGTCTGGGGATTTTACTGAGAAATTATCCCCTCTCTACATATCTAACCCTGGCCTTTATCCTCGTAAAAATCTTACGCTTTTCGTAACTCCTCCTACACCATACACCCGCATATCTGTCACATTGCCCCAAACCCCCCTGTTCTATGCATTTTTCCAAACCATAAATGCTACAAAAACCCCTTTCCCCCTTTCCTAAAAAATGTTTTCTATATGTTTCACTGTATCGCTTGTCTACACACCCCTACCCGTCCTGAAGCCCCCTTGTTTATCTCTATCCCTTTTTCTCCCGTCTTACTCTAACTCTACCATGCGCTTTCCAGGTATACCAACCGTGGAGCCACAAGATGATAAAAATGTTAACGAGGCAATTTTTGTATAAATTTTCGTCAGTGATAAAAATAAGACTTGATACAAATGAGACGACGATATAATAGAAACAATAAACTGAAGGGGAATTTTTAGTGCGGGGGAAAAAGTTGGGAAAAAGGTAATTTTTTGAAAAAAAATTTTTTCCAGGTCAAAAAAAAGCGATTAAGTAAACGTTAACAGGTCAAAAAAAGTGGTGAAGAAAAATAGAGACCCCAAAATCAAAAAATGTACCCAAAAAAAACGAGATGCAGAGTAAAAAAATCTGGTAAAGAAACCAGCAGCCAGGGCAAAAGTATAATGGAGAAACTAGTAGAGAGGCCCAAAAAATTAATTAAAGGGAAAAACCCGACGCCAAGTCAAGAAAATAGTGACGAACCAGACAATCAGGTCAAAATATAATGAAGAAAAACCAAAAAATTTAGGTCAAAAATTTTAATAAAAAAACCAGACAGCCAAAAAAAAAAAAATAATAAAAAAGAAACCAGACAGCCCGGTCAAAAATGCGATGAAGAAATTTAGTTGATGTCGACTGTAAGATGATTAAATAGTTAACTAGGTAAGAAAAGTTAAAAAATGTAACAAAAGGGGCAAACAGAGAAGGAAAAGTAATGAGCTCATGGGGCTGAGCCAGTAATGGCAGTTATAAGTCAAGGAGGCAGTGGTGAGGGGAAGGAAGTTATAAGTCAAGGAAAAGGGCGAGGTGATGCAGAAAATTTAAAAAGTCAAAGGGAAGTAAGTGTGATGCAGCAAGTTTAAGTCAAAAGGGAAGTGTGGTGAGGAAGCAGTTTAAGTCAGGCAAGTAAGTGGTGAGGAAAAGTTATAAGTCAAGGCAGGTCAGTGGTTGGGAAGGAGTTATAAGTCAAGGAAGGGCAGATGTGCAGAAAATTATAAGGGCAAGGCAAGTAAAAGTGGTGATGCAGAAAAATTTTAAGTAAAGGCAATTGTGGTGAGGGAAACAAGTTATAAAAAACAAAGGGAAGTAATGGTGAGGAAACAAGTTATAAGTCAAAGGGGGGTGTGGTGAGGGAAGAAGTTATAAGTCGGGGAAAGGGCCCCGGGGGGGAAAAAAGTTAAAGTAAAAAAAGTAAGTGGGATGCGCAAGTTATAAGTAAGGCAAGTAAGGGGTGGAGGAAGCAATTAAGTCAAAGGCAGGTCTGTTGAGGAAAAAAGGGGTTTTTAAAGTCAAAGGAAGTCAGTTGTTGAGAAACCAAATTTTTTAAGTCAAAGGCAGGTTTTGTTGTAGGAATTAAAATTTTAAGGGCAAGGCAGGGGGTTTTCCCCCCCAAAAATGTTGGGGGCCAAGGGGAGGTCAAAAGGGGTCGGGAATTATTTGGTTTTTAAAGGGGCAAAGGGGTCAGTTTGGGTGGAACAAGTTTAAACTGGGCAAAACCCCCCCAAGATGGGACGGGTTTAATAACCCCGGGAGGGCCAAATGTTAAAAGTGTAACCCAAAAAAAAACCCCTTGTGGTGTGCTAAACCCAATACCACTTTTGATACCTAAAACTAAATTTTTGATGTCTAAACATCACCCCTTGTGTGATCTAAAATAAATCAAAATCTTGCCTGACCTAAACACCCCCCTTGTGATGACCTAAACACTCACTCTTGTGATGACCTCAACACTCTCCCTTGTGATGATCTAAACACTTACCCTTGTGGTGACCTAAACACTCACCCTTGAGATGGCCTAAACACTCACCCTTGTGATGACCTAAGCACTCTTGTGATGACCTAAACACTCACCCTTGTGATGACCTAAACTCTCACCCTTGTGATGATGACCTAAACATTCACCCTTGTAATGACCTAAACACTCACCCTTGTGATGATCTAAACACTCACTCAAATTTTGATGACCTAAACACTCACTCTTGTGATGACCTAAACACTCACCCTTGTGATGGCCTGAACACTCACCCTCATTGTGACCTAAACAGTCACTCTTGTGATGACCTAAACACTCACCCTTGTGATGACCTAAACACTCACCCTTGTGATGACCTAAACACTCACCCTTGTGATGACCTAAACACTCACCCTTGTGATGACCTAAACACTCACCCTTGTGATGGCAACCTGGGCAGGAATAGTGACGTCTGGGGTGAGCCAGGCCAGAGTCAGCAGGTTGACGCCATGGATGGTGGTGGTGAGCGGCGCTCCAGCTGCCACCAGTAGGTTGATGATCTTGAGACGGTTGTTGGTAATGGCCAGGGAGAGTGGGTAGACGGACCACTGTCCCACTGGCTCCATGGGTGCCCCTGACCTGAGTAAGTGGGTCGCCTCACTGACATCATCACTCTTGCTGATGACATCAAGCAGCTTCTCGTACAGTTCTATTTCTTTCTCATAATTCTGCAAAATTAAATAATGATGTGCTGCTGTACCATAACTCCTGTGCTTGAGATTCTAAATTTTTTTGTTTAATTATTGAAGATACTAAACTGTATGTTGACTTGAAAACTGAAAGTTAAAATGTTCATCCAGTTCACTGGTTCAGATAACTAGCTGTTTCCAATAGTATCATAATAACTGTCTAATAGAACAGCACGAGGAAGATGGTCGAGTTATAAGTTGGTGAAGAAAAAGACAGGTCGAGGAGAGAACATGTGAAGGAGAATATAAGTCCAACACAAAGTAAGTCAATGAGAAAGTTATTTGAGGGAAAATAGAGCAAAGAGAAATTAGGTAGATGAAAGAAGTCAGAGAAATAAAAGTCAATGGTAGGAAAAGTAGAGTAGAAAAAAAGGCATAAAGATTATATATGGTTGAATAAATAGGTCATTTATAAAGAAGATCAAATTGAAAGTAGGTAAAGATATTATTATCTTGACTCTACATGATAAGGAAAGTAGATAAAAAGGTAGATAATGAAGAAAGGAGGTTGAAGAGAAAGTAAATTAAGGAGGAGAAATTTGATTAATTTAATTGTGCATAAAAGAGAAAGATGATGGAGGAGTTAAATAGGATAATTTAGGTGATAAAGAAAGTAGATCAGAGGAAAAGAAGTAACAGGAAAAGTTAGTGAATATGCATATAATTAACACCTGCTGCACCTTAAGTTAATTTACTGTTATTTATTAAAAAATAATTAAATTGTTTTATACAGGAGAGGAGCCAGAGGAATGTGTTCTGACAGACTGTTGCTGGTGACCTCATGTCATTACAATACTTTTATTAAGGAACACATCATTTTAAGGCGCTTGTTGACATAACTTGGAAGAGAGATAATAACTTATGTGAAAGCTTCATGGTTAGTTGCAGCATAAATTTAGTTAACTTTAATATCTCACAATTAAGCGTATTATCTATAATTCTCTTATTTTCTACAGCATTTAAAGATTTTGAAAAAGTTATCATTCACTAGAAAAATGTTGTATAAATTCCGCAGTACTAATGACCAGCAGTGTAGTAGAAATAAAATAAATGTTTGATTCGTTGTTTAGTTCATCAGTTGAGATCTACAACAACTGGTGACTTAAATATATTGTGAGGAAGTGATCCAGAAGTAAATTATTCACAGTCGACTTTATGTAAATTAAAACGAAAAACTAAATAACAGGAAAACAAGACCAGTGTTGCCAGACCAGAGTCTTCTTGCACTGACAGTTCCACCTGGTCAAAAGGACCAGTGATAATAGAGCAGAGTCTCCTTCAGCTGACAATTAAACCTGGGTCACAAGACCACTGATACCAGACAAGAGTCTACTTCAACTGACAGTTAAACCTTGGCAACAAGACATGTGATGCCAGACCAGAGTCTCCCTTCAATGACAGTTCCGTCTGGTCTACAAGACCAGTGATGACAGAACAGAGTCTGCTTCCACTGACACTTACTCCTGGTCCACAAGACCAGAGAAACCACATAAGAGTCTCCTTCCACTGACAGTTAAACCAGAGCCACAAGACCAGTGATGCCAGACCAGAGTCTTCTTCCACTGACACTTCCTTCTGGTCCACACGACCAGTGATGCCAGACCAGAGTCTCCTTGCACTGACAGTTCCACCTGGCCAACAAAACCAGTGATGCCAGAGCAGTCGCCTTCCAATGACACTTCATCCTGGTCCACAAGACCAGTGATGCCAGACCAGAGTTTATTTCCACATACAGTTCCACGTGCTACACAAGACCAGTGATGCCAGACCAGAGTCTCGTTCCACTGACAGTTCCACCTGGTCCACAAGACAAGCGATGATAGACCAGAGTCTCTTTCAACTGACAGTTCCACCTGGTACACAAGATCAGTGATGCAAGACCAGAGTCTCCTTCAACTGACACTTCCTCCTGGTCCACAAGGCCAGTGATGCCAGACCAGAGCCTCCTTCCACTGACAGTTTCACCTGGTCAACAAGAACAGTGATACTAGACCAGTGTTCTCCTTCCAATTGGACAGTTCCACATGCGTCCTAATATCAGTGATTCAAGACCAGAGGTCTCCATCCACCGACACTTCTTCTGGTTACACAAAGTCCAGTGATGCGTGGCAAGGAGTACTTATAACACTGACAGTTTCACTGGTCCACAAGACCAAAGAGCCAGACCAGAGTTCTTCCACTAAAACAGTTCCACCTGTCCATAAAGACATGTGATATCAGACCAGAGTCTCCTTCCACTTAAGGATCCACCTGTCCACAAGACCAGTTGATGCCAGACCAGAGTCTCCTTCCACTGAACAGTTCCACTGGTCCACAAGACAGGGATGCCTCACCAGACTCTCCTTCAAATGACACTTCCACCTGGTCAACAAGACAGTGATACCAGAACCAGAGTCTCTTTCTGCTGGACAGTTAAACCTTGGCCACAAGACCAGTGATGTCGACCAGAGTCTTCCTTCACTGACACTTCCTCCTTGATCAACAAGACTAGTGATTCCAGACCAGTCTCCTTCCCCAAACAGTCTTTGACTGTTGTTACCTCATGAAGTGCTATACAACTATTTGGGTGGCAGTCTTGATTTCGATGCTATGTCATTTTCAATACTGTCGCTGGGCCTCCTCCTTACCTGTGCATACTCCAGTTCTGGCTCTGCGGACTGATCTCCCTATTTACTTGTGTTCTCTGCCTTCTGTACTTTTTCCATTCTCTATTGCACTTTGTTTTTACACTCCTTACACCATCGGTAAACCAAGGGCTCGTTCGTTCTTTCCCATGTTTTCTGTTCGCCCTTAGGAATTAAACTTTTTCACTGACCTCCTTGCATTTTGTTGTTACATTATTCCATCATTTCATTTACTTGGCTTTCCTTGCCAGTTTCTGTCCACTGGACCTCCCGCGGAAGTTCCATCAACCCTATGTAATCCCTCTTTTATTGTCAGCTTTTACCA